TCAGAAATCGGATTGTGCCCCCCCCCATTCCAGGGCACATGCAAGACACCATCTGTATGTCTAGGATCATGAGTGCTTGCAGCGTGAGGCTTGGAAGCGTGGATAGATAGATAGATAGAAAGATAGATAGATTGGCAGCCGCGACATGCCAGCTCGAAGCCGAACCGTTCATGTCATGTGTTTCCCACACGTTGCCTTTCCATGCGAGCGATGCTAGCTGTGTTCTTGTCACTGTCACTCCCTGCTCTGTTCCTGGCGTTGGGACGACATGAAGAGCAGGAGGCAATGCACATGCAGTTGCTTCAACATCAGTTTGTCCTCGAAGGCGAGGTAAGGAGCCTGGAAGAAGCTCAGCCGCTCGATTGGATTCACTTCCCAAAGACTGGCAGCTCCTTCATCAACGCCATCATCCACCTGAAAGGCGCTTGCCCGTCTCTGGCGAACGTCGCTCTCAAGGAAGACACGGTCGGCGGCGGCCCCTGCTGGCTGTCCCACTGGCTCAAGCACGACTGCCCCAAGGTGTGCAATGCGGACAAGTACACTTGCCCTCAGCCGTACCATGCACACCTCCCTGTAACCAATTACTCGGCCCAGCGTGGTCACTTGGTTGGAATGTTCCGCGATCCGAATCAGCGTATCCTTTCTGGCTACCATGATGATGAAAACAACTTTGCCGCCTACACAGAGGAGCTCTACATGCATGACCTGGAATCTAGAGTAGAGTGCAGGGGGGTGCTGAACGACGTAAAGACATGGCCGAAGAGGCCGCTTTCAGAGTTCGCCGAAATGTGGAAGGGCGGTATGACATACCAGCTCGTGACCGAGCATCCGACCACCGTAACCCTGGATCCACGCCGGCCCCAGGTGACGAGCCGAGACGCCACTGAGGCAGCACGAAGGGTGCGTGACGGCTTTGCCTTCGTAGGCCTCACAGAGGAGTGGGACCTGTCAATCTGCCTCTTTCACAAGATATTCGGAGGAGCATGTAGTGCCTTCGATTTCCTAAACACGAGGCCCAGCTTTGATGGGAAGAGCGCCGACCACGCTTACGACACCTCCGAGCTTCAGGGGTGGTACGATGACATTGATGAAGTGGTGTATGCTGCCGCGGTTGAGGTCTTCCGCCGAAACATCATTTTGTTCAACGTCTCGCATGC